AAAAGGTTTCGCAAAGAAGGCGGGGGTAGGGAAGAGCAGACAAGCGCAGCTGAGAATAATATGCGCAAAGAGGAAAAGCGCGGATGGAATGCACCGAGCAAAGCAGAGAATAGAGAAGAGAAAGAGAAGAGACAAGAGAGAAGATTGAAGAAAAGGGAAGAAGAGAGGAAGGGACAGAAGAGAAGGGTAGACTTGCGGGGCTTCTAGAGGTCCTTACCTCCTGAAACTTCCGCCTGCTTTGCCGGGCAGTGCTTGTCAAAGGAAGTTTAGTTAGAAAACTTCCGAGTTATGGACGATTGTCACGGTTAGCATTCCCATCATCATGTCAACCACCCATCATCAAGTAGTGGGGAAATGTAACAAGTCGGAAGCGTGGGCGTTCACGGGTGTAAACACTCCCGGGCCCGAAACCCTATGTTTTTCTGCTAGTGTGGCATCCGGGGTCGCCAAAGTATAGGGTATCTGTTTCTGCGGGCCTCGATCTGCGAGAGTTGCCGACAAAAAGTGCACAGGACAGTAGCACGAGCTCGATTTCCACGTCAAAATGTTTAAAACCTGTCGGGCTCGGAGCGCTTTTGGAAGACGATGTCGGCAAAATCTGCTCGAGACCCTACCACGAGCTCGATTTCATATAAAAATCGCAAAAACTGAAGGTCAGGGGTTGGGGCATTCCCGGATTTGTGCAGTCGAAAAGGCCGGTGCTTGATCAGGGTGCTCCAGCTGGTCGGCGGCGTTTTACTGGTAAATTTTGGTTAAAAAAGTGGCCCCTGTGAAGTTCCCAAGTGGATTTCGACTGCGCAGATGAATCAAGGAATCAGTGAGTCAATGAAGCAGAGAACCTACGAATCAATGAAAGAGTGAAGTAATGAGCAGATGAATCAAGAAATCAATGCAGCAATGAAGCAACGAATCAATGAAGTAATGAAGCGATGAATCAATGACCCAAGATTCCAGTGAAACAATGAGCCGACGAATAAGTGAATCAGCCACCCCGTGAACCAATGAGCAAGTGAATCAAGGAACCGGCAAATCGGCCAACCAATGAACCAATGAGTCAGTGAATCAACCAATCAATGAACAAATGAATCAGTGAATCAACTAAGCAATGAATTGTTGAATTAGTGAGTCAACGAATCAATGAATCAAAACTTATCCCGGCAAGAGGCCCCAAACAGTGTGGGGGAACGGGAGGGGAATGTATGATAATATTGACGATGATGATGATTGTGAGGTTGATGATGATGTTGATGATGAGGATGATGATGATGAGGATGATGATATTGGGGACGATGATATTGAGGATGATGATATTGAGGATGATGTGCAGGAGGATGATGTTGAGGATGATGTGGAGGATGAGGATGAGTGTGATAATGCGGAAGGTGAAGTGGAGGATGATAAGGTGGAGAATAATGTCGTCGAGAAGGAAGAAGATGATGATGTTGACGATGAAAATGTTGAGGAGGATGATGAAAAGGATGATCGAAGGAAGTTCAGAAGTCAAACTTCCGACAATATGGACAACTGAAAAGCAGAGGTGGGAAGAGTCACAGAAGAGAAGAGAAGAAGAAGGAAGATCAAAAAAGAGATAGTCTCAGAAGAAAGAAGATCCAGGCGCGCGAAAGAGTAGGAAAGTCGCGAAACACTTTGTTTTTCCAATGATTTGTGGCTCCGGAGGGTCGAAAACTAAGCTCGCTAAAGCGGCGGGTGCGGAGCCCGCTTGGCAGATGAGAGATGAAAAATTGCACGCCGTTGTGATGCGAAGCACAGCCCGAAGTCAAAATGCACAAAGCACACCAGCTCCGGACCACTTTTGGAAGTTGAGATGGCGGAAAAGTGCACGCCGTTGTGATGCGAAGCACAACTCGAAGTCAAAATGCACAAAACACACCAGCTCCGGACCACTTTTGGAAGTTGAGATGGCGGAAAAGTGCACGCCGTTGTGCCGCGAAGCACAACCCGAAGTCAAAATGTACAAAGCACACCGGCTCCGGACCACTTTTGGAAGTTGAGATGCCGAAAAAGTGTACGCCGTTGTGGTGCGAAGCACATTTCGAAGTCAAAATGTTCAAAACACACCAGCTCTGGACCACTTTTTGACGTTCAGATGTCATGTCGCGTGGCAGGCGCAAGGGATTGTGCACCTTGTCAAAAGTGAGCAAAACGTGAGGGTTTTGTCGCATTTCCAAAAACGATGGCAGGCGTTGGGCATTTGAAGAGGATCTGCAAAGATGCATTTTCCGTGGCAGGCAGTACAAGAGACATGTTTATCAGAGATATTAGGAGGTCCGAGCGCTGATTTCCTGAGATCTTCATGTTTGCTGAGATGATTTTGCGTGACAGGTGCAGCACTTCGTACGACCTGGCGTCACTTTTTCGCGGCAAGTGCAGTACTTTAGACAGGTGGACTGGAAAAATCGCAAAACGCATTGGTACGAGGCCGTCAGCTCTGCACTCAACTTTCCATTTTTGAAGGCCGTCTCGCACAATTGCTTCGTTTTTGATGCCGTCAACGGGAAAGATTGAGGAAGTCTCGCAGAATTGCCTCGTTTTTGACGTTAAGTTCAAAAAATTGGGAAGTCTCGCAGAATTGCTCCGTTTTCGATGGTAAGTTCAAAAATTGAGGAGGTCTCGCAGAATAGCTTCGTTTTGAAGCTTGCAGACAAATAGACAGACAGACAGACAGACAGAGAGAGAGAGAGAGAAAGAGAGAGAGAGAGATAGATAGAGAGATCGAAAGATAGATAGATCGATGGATGGATAGATAGATAGATAGATAGATAGATAGATAGATAGAGAAAGAGATAGATGGAGATAGATAGAGATAGATAGAGATAGAGAGAGAGAGATAGATAGATAGATAGAAAGATAGATAGATAGAAAGAAAGAAAGAAAGCAAGAAAGAAAGAAAGAAAGAAAAGAAAGAAAGAAAGAAAAGAAAGAAAGAAAAGAAAGAAAGAAAGAACATAAAGAAAGAAAGCTAGGTAGAGAGGTAGAGAGGTAGAGAGGTAGAGAGAGAGAGAGAGTTAGATAGATAGATAGATAGGTAGGTGGGTAGGCAGGTAGGTAGATAGACATATAGATAGGTAGGTAGGTAGGTAGACAATCAGAGAAAGAGAGAGAAACAGAGAAAGAGAGGAGACCTCAAGCACCTTTCGGTCCATCAGTGGCTTCGCTGTGCCATCCGTGATTCACAATAACCAACCTCTCCTATAGGTTTCCTATTTGAAACTTCCGCCACCGCCTTGTGCGGTGCTACGGGTAATCTTGCGGAAGGTGAGGTGGAGGATGATGATGTTTTGGAAGATGGGGTGGAGGCTGATGATGTTGAGGAGGAGGACCGATCCCAAGACCGAGACCCACACTTTGTGCAAGCCTGCCCAGGCGAAGTGCAGGTGGACATTTCACAAGAAGAGCCACTTTTTACGGAAATTTACAGGTAAAATGCCGGGGACCAGCTATGGACCAAGACCCCGACACACACTTTGTGCGAGCCTGTGCAGTCGAAATGCGCTTGCAAATTGCAAAAGAACCACCCCATACGGAAATTTACAGATTGCTCTGTTCCTCCATCGCTTCACTGATTCATTCATGGATTCATCAGTTGATTGATTCCTTGATTTATTCAGTCAGTGGTGCATGGATTCTTTCCTGTCCTTTCATTGGCATCTCAACAACCATTTGCTCATTCGTTGGTGCACCTCACAACTTTAACGTTTGTTGTTTCTGCATCTCAAAATGTTTCCTGTAGGCCATCTTCTTCCTATAGTAATCTATTTTTTCCGAAACTTCCGCCCCCGCAAGGGCCGGGCACTACTGGTACATAATGCATGGGCAATATGTACGTTAATAATGTTGTTTATTTGACATAAGGTGCGCCCGTAATTGCGGTAATGATGTGGGAAACCTAGTGTGGGCCATTGGATTATGGGTTTGCCCCATTTTTCAAACAAGCCGCAGGCAACTCGCTTGTGGGCACAGGTACGTGTGTTTGATCTGGCGCGGACGAAACAGCCAAGAGGGGTCAAATTCTTGCAAGCAATCCTAACCGCGTGGATCCTTGTACATTCTAAGCGGCTTGAAGGCTTCCGGCTATGCTGTGCTGTGGCATGGCCCATGCTGTACGGGACTGCGGGACAAGCCCTGTGAAGCGTACCGGCTTCAAACAACTTCACCTTGAAAATTAGTTCGCACTGGAAAAACATGTCTTTGAACCAAGCTATTTGAAATGTGCGTGCGCGGGCTTGTTGCGGATTCTTTGTCCCGATGTAAAACCAAAGGCTTTAATATCTCATGAATCGTCGTTGCTGTCTCTTGTTTACCCGCGATCCATTCTCCCTGATTTTTGTTTGAAAGCAATCCTGATCACCAAATCTCCTCGGGCAGGGCTGCCGTACTTTGATCTTAGTAAGTGCAAAGGCTGCATCGGAAAGGCCAGCGCAGCATGGCACCGCGCCCGGCAAGACAACCCTCCTTTAGATGCGCCAGCTATGCCTGTTCAGCTGTGTAGCCATTCTTTTACAGCGCAAAAAAAAAGCGCCAGCTGGAATAAGTTCTATGTGGCGCGGTCATCAATTGTCATAGAAACCCTCCCTTCGAAATGCTTGGCCAAAAAAAATCGGGAATGCGCTCCCTTGGCTGCCAATAGCAGCGTCCAGCCTTGAGCAACGGCCGACAGATTGGAAGTTGCGACAGCAGGTGCTTGAGATAGTTGGTGCCTGAAAGATGGATTTCTCAACCGCTAATTATTGCCGCTAATTTGGCATCACACCAAAAACTTGAAGATGGAGATGATGCTGGCGGCCAATGCCGCCTTTTCAACGGGTGAAACATCTGCTTCTCTCCGCGCTTAGCCGCGTTTCGGCTCGCAATGGCGCCCCGATCCCGGTGATTGAAATTGGCCGCCTTGCCTGAAAAATAATTGGATTCTGGCTGCTTGCAAAAAGGGCCAATGTGTGAAATTTAGGATTGGTATGACAGGGTTCGAAAACAAAATTGATCTGCGGTCCAAAAACCACCCGAGAACCCCGAACATGGGCGACTTCAGGGCAAGTCGGCATACGCAGTATTCTTGCTATGGGGCTTTGTTTCCGTTCGCTCAAGGACCAACCTGCTGGCAATTTCTCGGACCGTGTGATCCGTCAACTGCGCGCTTCAGCTGCAGCTGTGTACCTGGCGGCAAAACCCGATTCAGTACTTACGGGCGGCTATCTTCGCACCACATAACAGCATGACAATCTGTCGGGCGGTCAAAATGCTTTAAAATCGAAACTTGGTTGTGAACCTTTGTGGCAAGGACGCGCCTGCACAACACCTCGACCGCTTGAGACCCCCAATCTTTTTGGCGCATGAGAACTGGAACCATACCAAGAAAGCTGCTACCAAAGCCCACATGGACGTCCATTGCCATGCTCTGCTTGGCCAGCATCGGCTTCAACTTCAAAAGCAATTAAAGGACTGGATAACCCCACAAGTCAACTTCTTCCAATAATGAGCACCAAAGGTTGTAGCGGGGACGGGGAAGGAAGGAATGACAAAGGAAGTGGTGAAACAGTTGTGTGTGACAAAGTGGTATGTGTATGTGTATGTGTATATGTGTATATGTGTATATGTGTATGTATGTATGTATGCATGCATGCATGTATGTATGTATGTGTGTATGCATGTGTGTTAACTTTTCCAAAAATGAGCAGCACAGATGGTAGCGGGGCCGGGGACAGAAGGAAAGACAAAAGATGCGGTGGAGGACCGACAAGTATGCGGCATCACTGCGGATTTCTTTTTTGCGCCAGCGCTCCAATGTCATTTGCTTGGCATGTGAAATCAGAAAAGTACCTGGCCGCCAAGCGAATGCGGCTACACAAAAAGAAACGTTCATTGCTGTAGGAAGAGAATGTCAAATGCCAGAAAACATCAAAGGACTTGAAGCTAGGCACTGACAAGCCTGGCCTGTCTCCATGAACGATCAGACAGGACCTGGCCGCAACGATTCATACGAGGACATTACGGGCGACTAAAACCAGCCCAAGCGCGCCACCCAGTGCCATAAGTGCCACGCCTGCCACGCAAAACGAAGGTGGATGTGACAGTACGCCAGGCCTGCCACGTGAAACGAAGGTGGATATGACATTGCGCCACGCCTGCCACGCAAAGTGCCGCCGCGTCACGGGCGACTAAAACCAGCACAAGCGCGCCGCCCAGTGCCATAAGTGCCACGCCTGCCACGCAAAACGAAGGTGGATGTGACATTGCGCCACGCCTGCGACGTGAAACGAAGGTGGATATGACATTGCGCCACGCCTGCCACGCAAAGTGCCGCGGCGTCACGGGCGACCCAGTGCCATAAGTGCCACGCCTGCCACGCAAAACGAAGGTGAATGTCTCCAAGTGCCACGCCTGCCACGTGAAACGAAGGTGGAGGTCGCCAAGTGCCACGCCTGCCACGCAAAGTGCCGCGGCGTCACCGGCGACCAAGCCCGCCCAAGCGCGCCACCAGAGCCAGCCCAGTGCCATAAGTGCCGCCAAGTGCCACGCCTGCCACGCAAAACGAAGAAGAATGTCTCCAAGTGCCACGCCTGCCACGTGAAACGAAGGTGGATGTCGCCAAGTGCCATGCCTGCCACGCAAAGTGACGCAACATGCCGCGTGTCAAAGATAGTGTGTGAAAAAGTTGGTGTGTGACAAAGTGGAAAGTTGGTGTGTGACAAAGTGTGTGTGACAAAGATAGTGTGTGACAAAGTTGTGCCAAAGATGGCGTGTGACAAAGTTGTGTTGGTGGAGGACTGTTGTGGTCAAAGATGACGTGTGACAAAGTTGTGTTGGCGGAGGATTGTTGTGTGACAGAGTTGTGTGTGAAAGTTAGTGTGCGACAAAGTTGTGTGTCAAAGATAGTGCGTACAAAGTTGGTGTGTGACAAAGTGGTGTGTGAAAGTTGTTGTGTGACAAAGTTGTGTGTGACAAAGGTGTGAAAGTTAGTGTGTGACAAAGTTGTGTGTCAAAGATAGTGCGTACAAAGTTGGTGTGCGACAAAGTGATGTGTGAAAGTTGTTGTGTGACAAAGTGGCGGCGGAGAAGGGGCGGAGGAGGCGGAGGAGGCGGAGAAGGAGGAGGAGGCTCGGGATACAGAATCAAAACAAGAACCCCACACAAAGTTGTGGGGAACAAAAAAATACTCTGGCAAGAGACCCTGAACAGTGTTGCAAGGAACATGACGAAGAAATGCCTTAAAAAAAGGGGGAAATCTTTAGCATGCATCACCGCGAGGTCGATGACGCAAGAATGCCCCCATCGTGGCTAAGCCAGATGAGGAACACCGTTGGACAAAGAGACCTAGGTGAGACCTTGTTCCTTGGCGAAACGAGGGTTGAACCATGCAAACCTTAGTCGGCATGGATATGACTCGGTCAGCCAACCACAGAGAGGAAGGACAACAGGTGGCCTCACCATTTTGAACCTTCCAAAGTTGGGATTGAACAAAAAAAGCCAAAGACGGACGGATTGGACAGTTTCAGAGTCTTCACCAGCAGCCAGCCGAAGCGAGCAAGGAAGGAGGAAGATGGACGAACGGGAGCTAAGTGAGGGCGGGACGCACACTCCCAGAAGATGTGATGGAAGCGGCCATTGGAGGAGCACCGCGAAGAAATACCATGGTAGCTTCTGGAACCTGCCTGTGTGAAGAGTAGAAGGTCGTGTGCACGATCTCCCTGCCAGGATCTCTGTAGAAACTGCTGTGCAAGATCCCCTTGCAAGGATATGTGTACCCTGTCCTGTGCAAGAGATCCTGTGTAGGTTCCCTTTGTTGGGATTTTTGTGGTGGGTTTCTGTCACTGATCTCCGTCACTGATCTATGTACAAGATCTCTGTTCATATGCCTTAAAGAGATCCCCTGCAAGATCTCGGCAAGAAATCTCTGAAAAGGTCTCTGCTCAAGCTCTCTGCAAGACATCTCTTGGCAAGATCTCTGTTCTCTTTGCCCGGGCTCTGTACAAGATCTTGGCAGATCTCTGTGCAAGCTTTCTAATTACACCTGCAAGAGGCCCGAAACAGTGTGGGGGGTAGGAAGTCTGTGTACCAGATACAAGCAGCAGCAGCTGCTATGGAACAGAACCAGATGAGGTTAGACATGATCAGCTGCAACGGCAGGACCTTCTATATCGATCTGTAAAGCGCAGCCCACAAGATCTTCATGCACGAACTTTTTATAACATTCCAAAAGAACTTTCATACAAGCAATGCGGAGGATCTGCAGGATCTTAATGCACGGACCTCTCGAAGAGGATTTCAGCAGGACCCCACAAGATCTTCTCACAAGGACCTGTACGGGAACATGTAAGGCCACCTACAGGATTTCACCAGCGCCTCTTCAAGCGCTTCCCACGAGGACCTCAGGCAAAGGTCTCTGACAGCATTGCACCAGGATCCCAAGGACTTGTAAAAGACTTTGACCAAGATCTTCATGCCGGGACCTCTATAAGAGAAGCGGGCAAGACCGTCAAAAAAGAATCTGCCTTCTGCTGGGAGGGGCCTTGCAAGATCTTGGTACAAGAACCTCCCAAAAGCAAGAGCTTTCACACAAGCCCCTCTAAGACATGGCATCTGCAAGATCTTCATGCAAGGACCTCTTAAAGGATCGCGCCAGGATCTCCACAACGCCTTCTCTTAAGGACTGGTCAGCAAGATCTGCACAAGAGCTTCTCATCAGGACCTGTACAAAATCATGCAAGGACCTCTAACTGATTTTCCAAGATCTTTACAACAAGGCAAAGACTAGGGGACTAAGATTCGGAGTAACTCGCGGCGCAGACTTTGCGCGAGCCGGCGCAGCCGAAATGCACATGGACACGCCGCGAAAACAACTTCACAGGAAAATTTACAGGAAAAATGCCGGGGCCCGAGAACGGGACTCCGTTTTGTGCGGGCCTGTACAATCGAAATGCACATGGGCATTGTGCAATAGCAATTTTACGCAAGAATAGCGGGGGGCCAAGATCCGGAAAAACAGGCGGCGTAGGCTCTGTGCGAGCCTGCGTGCATATGGACATGGCACAAGCCATGTTTATGCGATGACTTACAGCAAATGCCGGGGGGCCAGATGGAGAACCCTGACCGAGCCCCGGCCTTCAATAAGAACCCCTCGAAGACACTGTTTGGGGAAAAACATCTCCCGGCAAGAGATCTGTAAGAATCTTACTACAAGATCTCCGTACAAGGTATCTTCCAAAAATCACCGTGCAAGATCTCTGTGAGGGAGCCCTTACTAAGATTTCTGCGCAAGGACTGAGTTCAAGCTCTCTCAAATAGATCTCTTAGCAAGATCTCTGTGAGAGACCTCTTGGCAAGATCTCTGCAAGAGATCTCTAGACGACGTTTGTACACAAGAAATCTATATATTGGAAATCATCTGTGCACGATCTCTCTTAGAGGACTCCGGGCAAAATCTCTGCAAGAGATATCTTTACAAGATCCCTGCACAAGGTCTTGGCAAAAGATCGGCAAGATCCCTGCAAGAGTTCTCTGTACAAGGTTTGTATGAGCCTCTCTACTCTCTACTCTTGGCAAGATCTCTGCAAGAGATCTCTATGCAAGGGCTCGGAACAAGGTCTCTGGAGGAGGTCTCTTGGCAAGATCGCTGCCGGAGATATTTGTACAAGATCTCTGTACAAGGCGGCCGTGAAAGACCTCTGAACAAGAGGAATGACTAAAAGAGATCTTTGAGCAAGATCTCTGTAAAATACCTCTTGGCAAGATCTCTGCAAGGGATCTCTTTACATTTTACAAGGTCTCTGTACAAGACCTCTCTGTACAAAGCCTCCACCAAAAGATCGGCAAGATCCCTCTAAGAGATCTATACTCGAGATATATGCGCAATTTTTCTTGGCAAGACAGCCACCAGAGATCCCTACAAGAGATCTTTATGCAACGTCTCTGTACAACATCTGTGTCGGACATCTCTAAAAAAGATCTCTGCCCAAGGTCCGGGTCAGAGATACGCGCAAGATCCCGGTCAGAGATCTCTAAATAAGATCGCTGTACCCGGCCCGGCCCCCGCAAAAAAATACCTATTCAAAGCCTCTTTGCAAAAATCTGTAAATTTAGGAGGTCATTTGGCAAGATCTCCGCAAGAGACCTGCTTACAAGATCTTGTACGAGGTCTCTAGAAAATCTCCTTGTCAAAATCTGTGTGCAAAAACCCTTGACGGATTCAGCACTGCGCCGCGGCGAAAGCAATCTGACACGCACAAGCGCCGAGATGGTTGCACGAAGCGATCTCGCATGAACACTGTGCCGCAACAAGTGCGATCTGACACGCCCAAAGTGCCGAGAAGGTTGCACGAGCGATCTCAAAATGAGCACCGCATCAAAAAGGAAAAGAGCTGGCGCGCAGAAAGCGCCGAGATGGTTGCGCGAGTCGCGAGCGAGAATCAAAATTAGCACTTGGCCACAACAAGAACGATCTGATGCGCAAAGTGCCGAGGAGGTTGGGCGAGCGAGATCAAAATTCGCAACGCGCCACAACGCGAGCGATTTGACGCGCGCAATGTGACAAGAGGGTTGCGCGAGCACATGGTAGATTTTCAGCAGTTACTGCGCGTGCCACGGAAAATGAACATTGAACGTGAAAAAAGCAGATGTTGCACCTAGGTTTGGCAGACTTTTTTTTTGGGTGGGCCAGAAAGTCTCTGAAATACTGCGCCCACCACGAAAATTAATTTGAAGTATCCGAAGTACTGGGCCTGCCTCTTGTGCCAAACCAAAAACGATAACGATTTCACAAAACGAGAGTTCGACCGTTTCAAAGCATGTTCCATGTTCCAAACACTGCGCCTGCCGTGGAGAAGACCTCCGAAACCATCCCTCATTTTGACTCACGCCTGCCAACAGTTGAGCCACAACGTGCAAAAATGCAACGCCTGCCGCATGGGTGAAAAAGCGTCCGATGTCCTGCACCTGTCACGCAAAGCGGCATTCCAGACCGCAAAATGACCCGAAGCCCCGCGCTTGTCATGGACAGTGCATTGAAGTAAAAATCAGCGCGGCGCGTCGGTAGAAGTAGACCTTCAGAAGAAACAAAGCCGCGCAGCTCACATTGTGCTAGCCTGCAACAAAAAAAACCGACCTCCGCGAGAGACACCTCCCAGTCACCATTTTGCGCGAGACGTCCGTCGAAACGGAAGACCAAGGAACTTTTGTGTTGCGCCACCAAATTTGCCGGACACGCTGATGGGAACCCCTGAATTGGACCTAGCCTAAGCACCTGTGAGAGCTCGAAGTGTGTGGCAGCGCTGTTTGGGGAATTCAGTAAACGCAAAAAAAGCTATATCGATTTAAGCCGCTCAGCAGCGAAAGTTCGGCGATGTTGCAAGTGCTCATTTAGTTTTTTATTCAATCAGCGGCTAGCAACTCCATCGCCAGGGGCACGCATGTCAAGAGTCCGGCACCGGCGGGTTGTTGTCCGCAGAAAGCCTGGGAGCCATATTCGGCTGTCTTGCAAAAACAAGCAATGACATTCGACAAGTGAGGATTTTGGAAATGTCCTTCCATAGAAAACAATAGTGCTTACCTGTACAAATTTGAAAAGAAACTGCAGCAGGCTCACACCATGTCCTGCCGCACAATGAAAACCAAGAGGGTGCCCACTTCGGATCATGAAACCTTCCTTGTTCAGGCAGCTTCATCCTGCCCCCAACAAAAAGCTTAAATGCCATTCTGAACTTGAAACTATACGGAGTTTCGATCCGCCAAGCTTTTAGAAGGTTATTTGAAAAAAGCGGAGCTCCACCTGTCGTTGCTTGATGCTCCATCTTTTGTCGCTGCAACAATGTTACCAGCTCTATCTGCATTCTTGGTGGGGGCCGGCCCCTCCAATGATGGTCGCGCGCTGAAAACACGCGGCTTTGCTTCTAATTGCCGTCCCACCACATTTATCAGAGCACATTATCCTACATACCCCGCAAACTGCTTGCGCGGCTCAAGTTATTTTCATTGCTGCCGCGATCCCAAACTTTTTCCCATCCAAGGGTCGGCGAAGGATCTTGGAAGTATTGCCTCAGGGGAAAGTCGGCGATGAGAAACTCAGCTACGCGCAAGCAGACCAAGGACAAACAGCCGATAATGGCAACAACAGGACGGTCATAATGACAATAGCGATCTGGATCATGGCTTGCGACTTGCAGCTTCGGCATGCAGTGTTGATTATGACCGTGATGGTGACAGTCGTTGAGGTGACCAGCAAGGTGATAGTAAGTAGTTAGTAGTTAGTAGGTTTAAAACCCCGGAATCCCTCTAGGATGCTAAATTCAATTTTTTTAACGGTTTTAATATAGTTTTCGATGCGATTGGAGGATATGAATTTGATACGCTTTGAATTTGGGGTTATGATTCCGATATGGTTTTGATATGTTTTTGATGTGGTTTGGGTTTTGGTTTAGATATGGTTCCGGAATGTTTTGGATGTGGTTTTGATATGGTTTGGGGAACGGAGCGCCTTTTTCAGGGTTCCCGACGGGTTGGCTCCAAGAAACAGAAACAGCACCGGGACAGCCTTTTTGTGGTTTTGATATGATTCTGCTATGGTTTTGATACGATTTTGATATTGTTCCAGTGAGTTGGCTTCAGAAAAAGGAAGCAGAAACAGCTCAGAGGATCGATTTTTGGATGGTTTTTGTGGTTTTGATATCATTTTGAAATGGTTTTGATAAGATCTTGATACGGTTTTTGATGTGATTTTGATACGGCTTTGATGTGATTTTGATACGGCTTTGATACGATTTTGATACGGTTCCAGTGAGTTGGCTTCAAGAAAAGGAAACGGAAACAGCCCAGGGGCCGATTTTTTTCGATGGTTTTTGTGGTTTTGATATGATTTTGATATGGTTTTGATACGATTTTGATACGGTTTTGATATGGTTTTGATGCGATTTTGGATAGGTTGGCTTCAAATCACAATTTCGACCCACACCAAGAGTCACAACTGAAACCATACCAAGATCATATCTTAACAATACATCGCACAACAATACGTCACATAACGGCACATCACATAACAATACATTACAAAACGATACATCACAAAACAGTACATCACATCAAATAACAATACACCAAGGAAGGGGGGTGTGAGACTTACATCACATAACATTACATCACGTAACAATACATCACAAAACATCACATCACACAGCAACACATCACAGAACAATACATCAAGAGAAGTGGTGGCTGTGAGGGTTTTGACGAAGGCTCGTGACGAAGGCCTGTGACTGAGGGAAGTGATGACTACTGGAAGTGATGACCCCAGGTATGTGGTGACGGAGGGAGCGTGGTGACCTAGGGAAGTGGTGAGGAAGGGGGTGTGGTGACTTTGGGAAGTGGTGACCTAGGGGGTGTGGTGACGAAGGGGGCGTGGTGACCTAGGGAAGCGGTGAGGAAGGGAGTGTGGTGACCTAGGGAAGTGGTGTCGAAGGGAGTGTGGTGACCTTAGGAAGTGGTGACGCAGGGGGTGTGGTGGCGGGGCGTGTGCGGTGACCTAGGGAAGCGGTGACGAAAGGGGTGTGGTGACCTAGGGAGAAGGTGACGAAGGGCGTGTGGTGACGATGTGATCGCTGTATGAATGTTGCATGGGCTTTGTTTATGGGGAGGAAGCCGGAGCACGAAACTTTGTGTCTTTCCGTGTAAAGCGGCTGCAGCCGGCGATGAAAGGTACCTCCTGTGTGCGGCGGTTGCGGCTGGGATGGTTTCAACGTCGAATCGGTTCACCCTTGGTGTTCTGCAACGTGTGGTTGTTCATATGTGCGTAGTTCTTGGGTGTTTTGGAATCTGTGGATGCAGATCGCCGTGTAATGGCTGCATGAATGTTGTCATGTTTTGTCGTCAGGTGCGTAGAGAGATGCGGGTTGGGTTAGCCACGTCATGCTGCAAAACAGAATGTAATGGCTGCATGAATGTTGCATGGGGCTTGTTGTGGGGAGGAAGCTGGAGCACGAAACCTTGTGTTTTTCCGTGTAAAGTGGCTGCAGCCGGCAATGAAAGGTGCCTCCTGTGTGCGGAGGTTGCGGCTGTGCAACGTGTGGTTGTTCACGTGTGCGTAATTTTACGCGTCTCGAATCTCTGGTTGCAGATTGCAAAGCAATGGCTGCATGATTCTTGTCATGTTTTGTCGTCATGTGCGTAGAGAGATGTCGGTTAGTCGTTTGGTGCTGGAAAGCGCATTGTTATCATAGCATGAATGTTGCATGGGGGCTGTGTTGGGGAGGAAGCCGGGGCAAGAAACCTGTTTTTTTTCCGTGTAAAGTGGCTGCAGCCTGCGATGAAAAGTACCTTGTGAATTTCTTTTGAAAATTCCTTTTAAAAAGCGCCTCAAAGTTCAAAATCCGTTTTTTTCTTTGGCCCCGAGATCCGGTTTTGGAGCTGCAATTTCTCACGCCGTTGCGCGTAGTTTCATAATGTTTCGCACGTCAATATGCCGATATCGCATTGTAATGGCTGCGTCAAGGTTGCTTGGGGCCGCGGCTGCGGTGCGCAATACTATCGTCTTTTGCAGCTGGGCATCATAGATCGTATTGGTGTGGCTGCATCAAGGCTGCGATAGTGATTTGTCAGCAGATTTTCTCAATTTTGGCACGGGTGATTTTCCTTTAAAACCCTTTTAAAGCAGTGCTTCAAAATCGTCTTTTTCCCACAACTTTGTGTGGGGTTCTTGTTTTTGATTCTGTATCCCGGCTCTGCTCCGCCTCCTCCCGCCTGCCGCCTCCACACACTCACACACACACCCTCACATACACACAACACACAAATTTAACAAACAATAACTTCACACACACTCACACACACAACTTTGTCACATACCATCTCACATACCATAACTTCACACAAACTTCCAACACACTCACACACACACAACTTTGTCACATACCATCTCTCACATACTAAAAATTCACACACACTCACACACACACACAACTTTGTCACATACCATCTCACATACCATAACTTCACAATAACTTCCAACACGCTCACACACACAACTTTGTCACATACCATCTCTCACATACTATAACTTCACACACACACAAACTTAACATACAATAACTTCACACACACTCACACACACAACTTTGTCACATACCATCTCTCACATACTATAACTTCACAAGCACAAACTTAACATACAATAACTTCACACACACTCACACACACAACTTTGTCACATACCATCTACCATCTCTCACATACTATAACTTCACACACACACAAACCTTAACATACAATAACTTCACACAACTTTGTCACATACCATCTCTCACATACTATCACTTCACAAACACAAACTTAACATACAATAACTTCACACACACACACGCACACAACTTTGTCACATACAAACTCTCACATACTATCACTTCACACACACACAAACTTAACATACAATAACTTCACACACACTCACACACACAACTTTGTCACACATCTACCATCGTACAAAAACTTCAGACACACTCACGCACACACAACTTTGTCACACATCTACCATCGTTTTGCGTGGCAGGCGTGGCACTGATGGCACTGGGTGGCGCGCTTGGTCTGATTTGGTCGCTTGTGACGGCGCGGCACTTTGCGTGGCAGGCGTGGCACAAACCACATCTACAGTCGTTTTGCGTGGCAGGTGTGCCACAAACTCACATCTACCATCGTTTTGCGTGGCAGGCGTGGCGAAAAATGATATCTACAGTCGTTTTGCGTGCCAGGCGTGGCACAAACTCACATCTACCATCGTTTTGCGTGGCAGGCGTGGCACTGATGGCACTGGGTGGCGCGCTTGGTCTGATTTGGTCGCCCGTGACGCCGCGGCACTTTGCGTGGCAGGCGTGGCACAAACTCACACCTACAATCGCTTTGCGTGGCAGGTGTGGCGCAAACTCACATCTACCATCGTTTTGCGTGGCAGGCGTGGCACTGATGGCACTGGGTGGTGCGCTTGGTCTGATTTGGTCGCCCGTGACGCCGCGGCACTTTGCGCCGCAGGCGTGGCACAAACTCACATCTACCATCGTTTTGCGTGGCAGGCGTGGCACTGATGGCGCTGGGTGGCGCGCTTGGTCTGATTTGGTCGCCCGTGACGCCGCGGCACTTTGCGTGGCAGGCGTGGCGCAAACTCACATCTACAGTCGTTTTGCGTGGCAGGCGTGGCGCTGATGGCACTGGGTGGTGCGCTTGGTCTGATTTGGTCGCCCGTGACGCCGCGGCACTTTGCGTGGCAGGCGTGGCACAAACTCACATCTACAGTCGTTTTGCGTGGCAGGCGTGGCACTGATGGCACTGGGTGGTGCGCTTGGTCTGATTTGGTCGCCCGTGACGCCGCGGCACTTTGCGTGGCAGGCGTGGCGCAAACTCACATCTACAGTCGTTTTGCGTGGCAGGCGTGGCACAGTTAGCGTCATAACCATGGTGCTTGCCACTGTGACTGTATCGTGACTTGACAGGCATGCGCTCTGTGACTAGATATATTGTACTTGTCTTCCATAGTTGCATTGACAAC